GTAGCATAGTATAAAATAGTATAGCATAGTATAAAATAGTATAGTATAAAATAGTATAGTATAAAATAGTATAGTATAGTACAGTATCTCTCTTTAGCACAGCTATAATGTCCTATAATATCGTTTTAATGAGGCCAGTGTTCAGCATCCCAAAGCCTCGACTCAGATGCCAATCACTTCCCAGACTTGGGGTCACCTCGCAATTCCCATAACCACCCCCTAACAGGAACCCCAGACCCACCCACTAAAGAACTGCAAATCCTAAACCCCAGGGCAGCCCCCCGGGCCCATGCCCCCCTAACCCTGCAGGTGAGCAGGGCGTGGCGGGACTCACGCTGAGGGCGTGGCTGCGCAGGTGCTCCTGGCGGGTGAAGCGCTTCCCGCAGGTCTCGCAGGGGTACGGCCGCTCCCCGGTGTGCGAGCGGATGTGGCGCTTCAGGATCCCCTTCTGCTTGGCCGTGTAGGGGCAGAAGGGGCACTTGTGCAGCTTGATGGGCACCACCAGCACGTCACCTTGGGGACAAAACACAGGCTGTGAGCTCGGGTGCCCGCTGAGAGGCTGCTGCTCAGGCTCCTCGCGCTGCTGCTCGCTGCAAACCTGAGCTGGGAACCGCGTTTTCCCTCACCTGGGGGTTCCTCGGCTGTGCCATTGCAGAATTCATGCAGCTGCAGTGCCCTGGAAAATCAGCCTGTCTGTTGTTCAAGACAGCAAAACATTCATTGAAATTTAGGAAGCCTTTTAGTTAAGTACCAATAATCTGCTTCTAGTCAAGTGGGGTCTCTGCTCCATCTCAGCCACTTCCTTTTTTTAAAAATTATTAAACTATTAGCATCAGAAACTAAAACCTTAAATACAAACTGCAGGCAGAAAGAGCACATTTTGGCTATTCCTTTTTTTTAAAAATTATTAAACCATTAGCATCAGAAACTAAAACCTTAAACACAAGCTGCAGGCAGAAAGAGCACATTTTGGCCATGTTCTTTCATATTTAGGTATGAAAATATGACTCTGTTTCTAGTCCCTTCCTGTTGGGAATAACAAGGTGAAGGACTCCAATATATTTCCTGACAATATTTTACTGTTCCAAAAACCAAACCACAAGTAATACACAATTTATGGAGTCAGGTGCAAGAACAGAATTCAATTTGAAGATCCCATTTTACAGAAAGGTGGGCACTGCCAAGTTTTTCAGCACCAGCTTCCCTTCCAGCAGAAAGGTGGAGATGTGATGCCAAAGGATTCATTTTCCCTGTTCCAGGCCCTGATTGAGGGAAATGTTTTGTGTGTCAAGCAGGTGAGACCGCAGAGCACCCTCTGTATTAAGGTTTACCCAACTCACTATCAAAAAAAGTGTGTCTGGTATCAATGATGTGAGTGAGAGTCTTGGAGCTTCCCAAGGGATTGCAAATCCCTGCTGGGCATTTAGAGCTTCATTTAAACCCAGTTCTTAGTCCTGCCTTGCTTCCAGTGCTCTACAGGTGCCAGTTTTCCCTCCTTCTGCTGTGAGGGATGACTGGAACAGAGATGGAAACTTGAAAAAAAGTGAAATTTATCTCATCTCTTAACCTGAGTGCACCATTCTTTTATCAGGAGTTTGTATTTCTCATTTCTGGTGCCTTGTGAAGAAGCTGAGGCAGCAGCACCACTGAAAGCTGAGAAACTCCCACTCTCCTCACTGCTACCAAGTCCTGTTTTAGCACAGAAACAGAAGGAATGGAAGGTTTGGTTTCTTTTCCCTCACTCCTACTCAAACCCCATCTCTCACCAACATTTCTGATACACTGTCAGGACTCCTGATGTTCCCTATCAAACTCTGGAAGCATTTCCCTTTTAATGACTCATGAACAGCCTGGAGATGTTGAGAGAGGAAAAAGAGAAGTGAAATTTGTGTGTTGGATGTTCTTGCCTTGGCACACATCAAAAAGCAGCAGCGTGAGTGGTGACAGCCCTGCTCTGAGAGTAAACCTGCAGTTGTGATTTTATCAGTGCCCTGCTTGAGAGGATTTGTCACTTTTATTGGCTTTAAAGTCACACAGGCAGCTTGAGCTGCAGATGACAGGAAAATAAATTTGCTGGCTACAGTCAGTGCCAGCCCTGTGGCATTTGTCACATCCTCAGCACCTGTGGCACTCAACAGTCTGTCAGAGCCAGCTCCTGTCCTCACAAAGCTGTTTGGACAAGGCACTTATGAAAAACCAGATAAAATGCCCAAATCTTTATTGTCCACATCAGGAGAAATGCACATGGGCATGGTTTTCCTGAGAGTGCTGCCAGGAAATATTCCTGAGATATTCCAGCTGGTGCTGGGCTCGGGGCAGCTGGAAAGTGAAAAAAGCCTCATTTTTATGCCATGCCAGAGAATTGAAAGCTTTCAGTGCTCCTGAAGGACTTGCAGGAATCCCTCAGTGTTGGATAAAACTGATTCCTGCCCTCTGAAGCTGCAAACAGAGCAGCACTGGCAGGAGCTGGGATGGGATGAGCTCCTGCTGCTGCACCAGGTCCTGCAGCAGATCCCTCCTGTGGCAGCTCAGCTCCTGCTGGATTGCTCCTTATGACCATCAGGAGGGAAAAATCCTCTTTAAAAACATTCAACGAGGTCCCAGTGAGTCTGTTCATGAAAGAAGAATCACTCCAAGTGAAGGCTGGGGTGATCTGGGAGCTGCAGAGCTGTCAGCAATACTCACCTGCCACGGGCTGCACCAAACAAACCAGTACAGCTGCTTTCAAAGTGCACAACAAGAGTTTATTTCACTGTGCCAAAAATTCAGCAAAATATTCTTGGACAAGAATAACAAAAGGAGCCCAACAAAGCTGCTCCCTGCTGCCCTGCACCCCTGAGTCCTCTCACCTGTGTCCTCACCATACCAGTCGCTGTGAATGTCCACCATGGAGCTCATGGGCACTCCAGCATCCTCAGCCCTACCCTCAAATCCCCGGACCAAGTGATGCACCACGTCCTCCTTCCTCGGGGCCGAGCTGTTGCGCAGCAGAGCCTCCAGGAACTGCTTCATGTGCAGATTATTGCAGGCCAGCTCCAGGGGCTGCCCCTCTTCCATGGGCTCCAGCGCCGCCGCCGCCGCGGGCTCGGCGTCAAACTCCACCTTGGGTTCCACCCTCCTGCAGCCATCGGGGGAGCCACTGCTCTGAGGGTCCCTGGCCGCCACCTCCAGGGGGTGACAGCCACTGCAGTCCCCGCAGGGAGGGTCCCTCTGGCATTCCAGAACCTTCTCCTGCATGGAGGACACGGAGGCAGCGCCCTTGGAGCCCGCGGAGGGGCCCTCCCTGGCCGAGCTGCCGCTGTCAGCCTGGTAGAACACCACAGCCTCCCTCTCCATCTTCCTGCAGATGTCCAGCGAGGACCTGATGTAGCTCTTGCAGAAGTTGACCACGTCGGTCATCTGCAGGTAGCTGGCGGCCGACATCACCTCGATGACGTTGTCCCCGCACAGATCCAGCTTCCCCGAGTAGAGGAAATCCAGGATGACGGAGAAAGCCTCGGAGGTGACGATGTCCAGCGAGGCCGTGCTGTGGCGCCCGCTGTCCTGGATGTAGTGGATGAGCAGCGCTCGGAAGTAGCCGCTGTTGGCGAACAGGATGTTCTTGTGGGCTTTGAAGATCCTGCCCTCCACGATGATGCTGCAGTCGCAGAAGAAATCCCGCTTGCGCTGCTCGTTCAGCTCCCCCAGCAGCTTGGTGTAGTAGGACTGAACCTCCATGGCTGGGGGGACAGAGGAGAGTCAGTGCCGGGACAGGGGACAGCAGGGACAGAGGAGAGTCAGTGCCGGGACAGGGGACAGCAGGACAGGGGGACAGCAGGGACAGAGGAGAGTCAGTGCCAGGACAGAGGACAGCAGGACAGGGGGACAGCAGGGACAGAGGAGAGTCAGAACCGGGACAGGGAGACAGCAGGGACAGAGGAGAGTCAGTGCCAGGACAGGGGACAGCGGGACAGGGGGACAGCAGGGACGGAGGAGAGTCAGTGCCAGGACAGAGGACAGCGGGATGGGGGAAAAGGGGGACAGAGGAGAGTCAGTGCCAGGACAGGGGACAGCAGGACGAGGGGACAGGGGGACAGAGGAGAGTCAGAACCGGGACAGGGAGACAGCAGGGACACAGGAGAGTCAGTGCTGGGACAGGGGACAGTAGGACAGGGGGACAGGGGGACAACAGGGACAGAGGAGAGTCAGTGCCAGGACAGGGGACAGCGGGGCAGGGGGACAGTGGGACGGGGGGACAGCGGGGCAGGGGGGACAGCGAGAGCGTCAGCGCCGAGACAGGGGACAACGGAACAGGGGGACCACGGGGACAGAGAGAGTCAGCACCGGGACAGGGGGACAGCGGGACAGGGGGAGACACCGGCATCCCCGGGGACACCGGCACCGCGGAGACATCGCCACTGCCACTCCTTCCCAGCGCTGCGGGGACACCTGGACAGGCGGGGACACCACAAAGGATCGTCCTGCCCGGCCCCTGGGGTCCGTCCTGCCCGGTACCGGGGGTTCCACGCCCCTTCCCGCCCGGTACCGCGTCTCCGCTCTGCCCGGTCCCAGCAGTCCCGCATCCCATCAAGGTCCGTCCCGCCCGGTACCGGGGGTCCCGCACCCCACCATGGACCGTCCCGCCCGGTACCCACCGGATGTCCCGGAACACCAAGGACCGTCCTGCCCGGTACCAGCATCCCCTAGAACGCCAAGGGCCACCCTGCCCGGTGCCGGGATCCCCCGCCGCGCCAAGCACCGACCTCCCGGTGGCGGCATCGCCCGGTACTGGGAGCCGTCCCTGCTGTAAGCACCGCCCTGCCCGGTACCGGGGTGCCCCGGAACGCGTTCCCGCCCGCCCCGGGCAGCGCTCGGTGCCCATCGCTCACCTCCGCCCAGCCGCGCTCCCGGTCCCGCTCCCGGTCCCGCCCGGCCGCCGTACCCGGGCCGCGCCCCCGGGGCGGGGCAGGAAGTGACGTCAGAGGGGCCGGGCTCCGGGGCGGGGCCCGCGGGGTGAGGGGTCGGTAAATATTGGTGACGTCACACCGCCAAGATGGCGGAGGGGTGAGCGGGGCACAGCCGGGGGGCGGCGGGACCGGGGGGGGAACGAGAACGGGACGGGAACGGGACACGGACGGGACAGGGACCCCATGGGCAGGGGGCGGCGAGAGGGGATCGGACAGCGGGGCCGGGGTCTGGGATGGAATCGAGGGTTAGAATCTGGGGTTGGAGTTTTGGGTTGGGGTCTGGATCTGGGGTCTGGGATGGAATCGGGGTTTGGAACTTGGGGTTGGGGTCTGATCTGCAGTTGGGGTCTGGATCTGGGTCTGGGGTTGGGATCCGGGATCGGGGTCTGGGGATAGAATGTGTGGTTGGGGTCTGAATTTGGGTTAGGAGTCAGGATCTGGGATCTGGATCTGGGGTTGGGGATGGAATCTGGGGTTGGAATCTGGGGTTGGGGTCTGAATTTGGGTTAGAAGTCGGGATCTGGGTTTGGGGTTGGGATCTGGGGTTGGGGTCTGAATTTGGGCTGGGATTTGGGATCTGGGGTCGGGGTGGGGATCTGGGTCTAGGTTTGGAATCTGGGGCCAGGATCTGGGGTCAGGGTCTGAAGCTGGGGTTGGGATCTGGATCTGTGCTCTGGGATCTGTGTATGGGGTTGGGATTTGGGTCTGGGATCAAAATATAGCATCTGAATCTGGGGTCAGGATATGGGATTTGGGATCTGGGTCTTGGAGCTCGTTCTGGGATCCCGGTTTGGGGTCGGGCTCTGTGTGTGGCCGTGTGCTGACCCCGCGCCTGTCCCGCGCAGGGAGGATGGCGGCTGGTGGCGGAGCTGGCTCCAGCAGAGCTACCAGGCCGTCAAGGAGAAGGTGAGAACCGGTGGGAGCTGCCGGGAGCCCCCGGGAACCGCCAGGAACCTCTGGGAGCCACCAGGAGCGGGAGGGCGGGGCCTGCGGGCCGGCCCCGGGAGCCCAGTGAGGCTCCGGGAGGGTCTCCCCGAAGTGGGATTGGGATGGATTTGCTGTGGATCGAGCAAACACTGGGTCATGCTGGGCTCTGTCATGTGGGAATCACCCCCTGAGCAGGGGGTTGTGCTTCCAGCATGGCTCTGTGGTGTGTAACTTCCTGCTGTGACAGCATTGCCTGTGTTAATTAGACACAAAACTTAAACCCAGGCTTCTCCCAGCCTGTGTTTTTCCTAGTCTTGGCTTCAGAGCCTCCTGGAATGTGTTTTGGGCAGAGCAGATGCTGTTGCTGTTCAGGTTATTCTGGTTTTATGCATTGCCCAGGTTGGGGTGAGGGTTCATCTGGGCTAAACTCTCCCACCTGAGTTTTTGTAACGTGCTGGGAGCAATCCCAGCTTTGTTGGGGAGCCAAAACTCTGGAGAATCCATCTTCTGTCTCCTTGCAGTCCACAGAGGCTTTGGAGTTCATGAAGAGGGACCTGGCTGAGTTCACCCAGGTGGTGCAGCACGACACCGCCTGCACCATCGCCGCCACGGCCAGCGTGGTCAAGGACAGGCTGGCAGTGAGTAGGGGCTGGGAGAGCTTCAGCAGCACCCAGTGCCACCCCTGCCGTGGGCAGGGACACCTTCCACCCTCCCAGGCTGCTCCAAACCCCATCTGGGATAACTCCAGGCATGGCACAGTCACAGCTTCTCTGGGAATTCCATCCCAGTGCCCTCACAGGGAAGGATTTCTTCCCAGCATCCCATCTAACCCCACTTCCTACAGATTAAAGCCCTTCCCCCTTTTTCTGTCACCCTCGTGGTTCCCTCTCCACTGTGCTGAGCAGGGGGACATTGGCAGTGTCACTGTAGGGGGACACTGGCAGTGTCACTGTAGGGGGACACAGGCTCTCCACACGAGCTGTGAGCCTCAGCCCTGCACAGCTGCTGCTGGGACAGCCCCACCTCACACCAGGCAGCCCCAAACCTGGCTGTGCTTCCCCCACAAAGCCCCAAACCTGGCTGTGCTTCCCCCACAAAGCCCCAAACCTGGCTGTGCTTCCCCCACAAGGCCCCAAACCTGGCTGTGCTTCCCCCACAAAGCCCCAAACCTGGCTGTGCTTCCCCCACAAAGCCTCAGCTCAGTTCCTCGGTTCCCCTCAGGTGCCTCCCACCTCACCCTTCCTGAGGGGGCAGATCCTGCTTCCTTAAGGATCTTACCCATAAATCCTGGGATGTTACTGACCCTGTGCTGCCTCTTCCCTTGAAGAGGGCAGAAGGCTCAGGTGCCACTGAGAAGGTGAGGAAGGGCCTGTCTGACTTCCTGGGGGTCATCTCGGACACCTTCGCTCCCTCTCCGGACAAGACCATTGACTGTGACGTTATCACCCTGATGGCAACGCCCTCAGGTACCACTGAGCCCTACGACAGTGCCAAGGTCAGTGTGGCACCCTGAGCCCTTCCCCTGGCCCTGCTGCTGTCCCTCCCCTCACAGCTGTCCCTGTGTGTCCCCTCCAGGCCCGTCTCTACAGCCTCCAGTCCGACCCAGCCACCTACTGCAACGAGCCCGATGGTATGGGGGGTTCAGGGGGCTGCCCTTGGGGTTTTCAGGGGCTCCAGGGTGCTGCCCTAAGGGGTTCAGGAGGTCCAGGGTGCTGCCCTAGGGGGTTTGGGGGTCCAGGGTGCTGCCCTAGGGGGTTCAGGGGCTCCAGGGTGCTGCCCTTGGGGTTTTCGGGGGCTCCAGGGTGCTGCCCTTGGGGGTTTGGGGGCCAGCTGGAATTCCCTGAAGCCTTTGGCCAGCAGGGCTTGGCTGCAGAAGAGCTCAAGGACCAGCTTAGGCTGAATTTCCTAGCCCAGTTTAACCTGGGCCTTGAGCTGGCAGAGCATTTCTGAGCCCTGTGTCTCCCTCCTCCTGTGCCCCAGCACCTCCAGTGAAACCTCCCCAAACTCAAGGATTCTTATCCCTGTGCTTGTCCCAAACAGGCCCTGCTGAGCTGCTGGAGGCCTGGCTGGCTCAGTTCAGCCTGGAGGAGAAGAAAGGGGAGATTGCAGAGCTGCTGGCCACCAGCCCTTCCATCAGGGCACTCTACACCAAAATGGTGAGACCCTGCCTGGGCAACTCCTGACGTGGGGAATGCTGCAGGAAAGCCCTGAGCTGTTTGTGCCCTGCAGCTGGAGTGGAAACTATGGAAAAATGGATGGAATAAAATGGGAGCTGCAAGCTTTGGGAGGATAGAGGGGCACAGCTCCCCCTCTGAGGGGCACAGCTCCCCCTCTGAGGGGCACAGCTCCCCCTCTGAGGGGCACAGCTCTCCCTCTGAGGGGCTCAGCTCTCCCTCTGAGGGGCTCATCCCTTTCCCTGATCCCTTTCTCAGGTCCCTGTGGCTGTTTCCCACTTGGAGTTCTGGCAGCGCTATTTTTACAAACTGCATCGCCTGGAGCAGGTGGGTCAGGTTGGGGGGGTCCCTGGGGGGCTTTTCCTGGGCAAACTGGGATCTGGGCTGAGCCTTGGAGTCAGTGAAGCTGAAATGCCTGGGGGAGGAAAGGGGCTGGGCATGTGAGCAGCTGCTGTGTTGGATTCCTGCAGGATGAAGCCCGGAGGGAGGCTCTGAAGCAGCGAGCAGAGCAGAGCATGCAGCAAGAGGAGCCAGGCTGGGAGGAGGATGAAGGTGGGACAGGTTTTGGGGCTTTCATGGGGTGGTGGCTCCTCCTCACTGCCACAAATCACAGTGGGCAGTGAAGGGGCAGCTCTGATCTCTGCTCTGTGGCCAGTGGTGGGATCTGAGGGAATTTCTGGAGCTGTGTCAGGGTGGTTGAGGTTGGAAATCAGGAAAGGTTCTCCCCCCAGAGGGTGCTGGGCACTGCCCAGGCTCCCCAGGGAATGGGCACGGCCCCACAGCTGGCACAGCTCCAGGACAAGGCTCTCAGGAATGCCCAGGGTGGGATTTTTGGGATGTCTGTGCAGGGCCAGGGCTTGGACTGGGTGATCCCTGTGGGTCCCTCCCAGCTCAGGACATTCTGTGGTTCTGTGAAATCCAGCTCAGGGCATTCTGTAATTCTGTGAAATCCAGCTCAGGGCATGCTGTGGTTCTGTAAAATCCAGCTCAGGATGTTCTGTGGTTCTGTGAAATCCAGCTCAGGGCATGCTGTGGTTCTGTGAAATCCAGCTCCCAGCCCAGCTGCTGCTGCCCTTCCTGAAACATCTCTCACTTCTCTTCTGCCTCCCTACAGAGGAGTTCTTGGGGATGTCCCCCCTGCCTTGTGCAAACATCACATTTCCAGGAGCAGCACAGAAAGCACCCAGCTCAGAGGGACACCAGGCTGCTGCCCCCAAGGCTCCCTGTGGGGAGAGCTGGGCCGTGCTGCCCCCAGAGCTGGTGCCAGGGGAGCAGAGCCCCTCGGAGAGCAGCGAGAGCGTGTCCCTTGTGACTCAGATTGCAAACCCTGCCCCTGTGCCTGCCACCCAGCCACAGACTGCAGCTCCAGCCCTGCCCCTCTCCCAGAGGCTGCAGGAGGCCACCTTGGAGGAGCAGAGCTCCCTGCCAAAGCCCCCAGAAGCTGCTCAGCCTTGTGCACCTGCCCAGCCATCAGCAGCATCCTCGGAGCTGGCAGCTGGAACGGAGCTCAGAGAGCTGGAGAGCAAAGGGCAGGGCAGGACAGAGACTCTGAGGGAGGAAGGACCCACAGATCTGAGAGTCTTCGAGCTCAACTCGGACAGTGGCAAATCCACCCCCTCCAACAACGGCAAGAAAGGTTGGTGTGGGGCTGGGAAACCCCTGGGAGGGCTCCTGGGGAAAGCTCTGGGCTTATGGTGCTGAGGGAGAGGAAAGGGAAAGAAATCAGTGATCTGCTGGCTGAGCAGTGGGACAGTGTTCACAGGGGATGAGGGAAGAGATGAGAATCTGACTCCATGGTTCAGAAGGCTTGATTTATTGTTTTATGATATATATTATGTATCATAAACATTCTATATTTATGAATATTATATTATACTATATTATACATTAATATTTCATATATTATTGTATTATACATTAATATAGTATATATTATTATGTTCATTATATAGTATATATTATATTAAAATATATTAATATATTATTATTATTATAAATTGTATTATAATACATTATACATTATATACTATATTATTTATTATATTATATTATTATGGTATATATTATATTAATAATTCTAACAGCTGGTAGTTTTGTAACAATGACTTTCTCCAAAACTATACTAAAAGAATAGAAGAAAGGATTTCATCAGAAGGCTGGCTAAGAATACAAAAAGAAGGAATGATAACAAAGGCTTGTGTCTGGGACAGAGAGTCCGAGCCAGCTGGGCTGTGATTGGCCATTGATTAGAAACAACCACATGAGCCCAATCCCAGATGCACCTGTTGCATTCCACAGCAGCAGATAACCATTGGGTACATTTTGTTCCTGACGCCTCTCAGCTTCTCAGGAGGAACAATCCTAAGGAAAGGATAAAATCTGTCTGTGACAGAGCAGACCAGGCCTTGGTCCCTGGCTGCCAGGAAAGGCTGAGCTCCCTGGAGGGGATGTGGTGATTGCTCCTCTCTGCCCTGCTGGGACAATGACAGTCCCCATATCAAAGTCCCTCCTGTCATTCCTTATCTCCTGCATTTTCTGTGTGGCTGGAGCCTGACACATCCCACTTCTCCCAGGCCAGAGGAGAAAATCCTCCAGCACCCACCTCTCCCCTGGCTGTGCTGTGAGGGGAGCAGGCTCAGCCCACCCCATCTCTGATCCTGGCAATGTGGAGGCTCTGAGCCCTGGGAATTCCGGGGTTTTGGGGCCAGCTCTGGTGGCTCAGTGGGGACATTTGTGCTTCCAGGCTCCAGCACGGATATCAGCGAGGACTGGGAAAAGGACTTTGATCTGGACATGACAGAGGAGGAGGTGCAGCTGGCACTGTCCAAGGTGGAAATGTCTGGGGAGGTGAGTCAGGGCAGGCAAAACTGCCCCCCAAAAGCATCACCAGCCCCTCGGGGTGGGGTGTTTGTGAGGGTCCCCAGCACGAGGTGAGAGATGAGAATCTGACTCCCAAGTTCTCAGAAGGCTGATATATTACATTACATTACATTACATTACATTGTATTGTATTATATTTATATTATATTATATTTATATTATATTTATATTAGATTATATTATCATCTTTTATTTATTTTATTTATTATATTTATTTTATTAATATAATATAAATAATAAAATAAATAAAATAAAATATATATGGATATGATATAATGTAATATATTTATTCTCTTATATTTATTATATCCATTCTATTATATCTATTATATTATATTATATTCATTATATTATATTCATTATATTATATTCATTATGTTATATTCATTATATTTATTTATTATATTTATTATATTGAATGCTATACTAAAACTATACTAAAGAAAGAGAAAGGAGACATCAGAAAGTTTAAGAATGAATAATAAAAGCTGTGACTGACTCAGAGAGTCTGACACAGCTGATGGTGATTGGTCATTAGGTAAAAACAATTCACATGGAACCAATCAGGCATTCACCTGTTGGTAAACAACGTCCAGGCCACATTCCAAAGCAGCAAAACACAGGAGCAGCAAGCAGATAATTATTGTTTTCATTCCTCTCTGAGGCTTCTCAGTTTCCCAGGAGAAGCCCCTGGGCAAAGAGGATTTTTCAGAAAAGGTGATGGTGACACTCAGGGTGGTGCTGCATGAGCAGAGAGGGGCTGGTGGGGTGAGCGTGCAGCTGTCCCAAGGGGGAATCTGTTGTGTTACAGAAACAAACAGTTGAAACCAGCTCAGAAATTAATTTCCTCTTGTTTGCAGCTGGAAGATGAAGAGTGGGAAGACTGGGAATAAAGCAGCTGCTTGCAGTGTGTGTCACAGGCTCATTTCCACACCTTCGAACGTGAATCCAACCTCGGACCAGCTGTTCCTTTGTGTGTGACTGTGCTGGGGTTGCACCCCCAGCCTGCAGGAGTTCCCACTCCTGCAAAAACCTGGGGGCAACTCAAGTGACCCCTGCAGCTCCAGGAGGAGGAAGCAGGAGGTCACTGGCACGCAGGAGCCCGACTTCTCCACAGGTCCTAGAGACTGGCCAAGCCAAAACTGACCCTGCTGTGTTGGGAAGAGGCAGAGTGAGGGGTCCCTGGGGCCAGCTGGGCACTCAGAGCCCTGCCAGCTGTGCTGGGTGCTGCCAGGCTGCCAGCTGGCTCCTTCCCTGCTTGTGTGTGCACGTGGAGCCCTCAGCTGAGAGGCTCCTGGACGTGGCTGTGCCTGCTCTGCTCGCTGCTCTGCAATTCCCACCCAGCGAGGGCCTGAGGCCTGGAGGTGCTGCACAAAAAAGCACTTGGCTCGTGGCTTTGACCCTGGAAGGAGCCAAACCCCCTGCCAAACCCTCAGCTTCTGCCTGGCTTTTTGTCTTGGAAGCTTTTTCTCATGGAAATTCCCATTTCCAGCAGTTTCTCCAGAAGAGCCAAGGCCTGCTGCTCTCCCCTTTTGCAGCTGCACCACCTTCCTGCACTGGGTTTTGTGTCTTTCTAGTTAAATTCTCCAAGCAAAATCCTCCTGGCTTGCTCTTACTGCTGGGCTGGCACTGGTTTGGGTCAGCTGGGGACAGAACCCCGGTGTTGGTGGCACTGGTTTGGGTCAGCTGGGGACAGAACCCCGGTGTTGGTGGCACTGGTTTGGGTCAGCTGGGGACAGAACCCCAGTGTTGGTGGCACTGGTTTGGGTCAGCTGGGGACAGAGCCCCAGTGTTGGTGGCACTGGTTTGGGTCAGCTGGGGACAGAGCCCCAGTGTTGGTGGCCACTTGCAAAGGTCCAACCTGGCCCCACTTCAACCTCAGCTTGGCCATCCTGGGGGGGACAGAGGCTCCCAAATTGGGGTGTCCCTGTTGTGTGTCCCCATCTGAGCCCTGTCCCACCCGTGCCAGCCCCTGCAGCCACCACGAGCTTTGGGTTCCTTCCCTTCAGCCCCTGGCACTGTTTGTTTCACTCCCTTCAGCCCCACGACTCCTTTTTGGGGCAGTTTCATGTCACAACAGGAGATGCTGCTCATGCACAGTTACCCCCAGGGGACAGTGCCCTCCCTGGCCTTTGGGGTGCTGAGGTGACACTTTCTGCCTTTGTCCTGCCCCTTCCAGGCCTGGGGGTTTCCTACTGGCTTTGGACAGCACTAAACAAGGTGCACTTGGAAGAGTTGGGGTTTTGGGGTTGGGTTTTCCTTCTTTAGGGCGATTCCTGCTGGGAGCATCCCTGTCCTGCCAAAGCCCTGGGTCCAGCAGAGCCTCTCCTTGTCCTGGCTGGGATTGTGGTGGGCAGGGGACACAGGGGACACCAGTGGGGACCTGGGGCTGCTGTGAGCCCCAGCTGATCCCACAGCAGAGCTCGAGGGTGCAGCATCTGTGTCACTTTCTTTCCTTCTTTTAGTGGAATTAACCGTGGGGTTGGTTGTGCAATATTCTCTGTTCTTGAACTATTCCCCATCTCCCTGAGCCTTTTCTAGCTGGGGTGACAAACCAGGAACAATTCTAACAGCTGGTAGTTTTGTAACAATGACTTTCTCCAAACCTTTTACAGACTTGCAGTTAACAGCAATTAAAGGAGTTCTCAGAGTCTCTGCCGTGTTCTCATTTCCTCCGGGGTGGGGATGACACAAATTTTCCTTTCCTCCCATCTCCCTCAGGAGAGGGAAGGGAGCCCCCACTGCCCCAGGCTCCTCAGGCTCTGAGTGACCCCGTAAAAGCAGCCAGTCCTCAAACTGTGACCCCATAAAACCAGCTAGTCCTCAAACTCTGTCCCCCAATTTTTGGGACTCTGAGTGACCCCATAAATCCACCCGGTTCTCAAACTCTGTCCCCACATTTCAGGGCTCTGAGTGACCCCATAAATCCATCTGGTGTGCCCCAGAGCTCGTCTCTGCCTGGCACAGCTCCCAGGGTGGGTGACAAACACCAACCCAGTCCCTCCCAGTGGGGACATTCAGGTTTCCAGGGGCTGCTGGCACTGCAGGAGTTGGTCCCAAGGGTTCCTCAGGGATCTGCCTGGGGCAGCGCTGGGCTGCAGCAGCTCCTTCCCTTCCTGCAGCCAAGGGAACCGGACACGAGTGACAGGATGGAGGGGACACATGAGAGGGGACACGAGTGACAGGACACGAGTGACAAAACCCGAATGAGGGGACGCGAGTGACAGGACAGAGGTGACAGGACGCGAGTGACAGGACGCGACCGCCCCTGCAGTTCCGTCTCCGCTCGCTGGGGGCGCCCTAGCACCGCCCCCGCCGCTCTCCGCGCGCACAGGTTTGGCCCCGCGCGGCCGCCGTCCGGCCCGCGCCCCGCCCGCCGCCGCCATATTTTGGCCGCCGCCGCCACCACCGGAGCCGCCGCCGCAGCCGCCGCGATGGGTGAGGGCCCTAAGGGGCGGGCGCGGCCCGGGGGAGCTCCGGGCACGGCCGAGGGCGTGGGGTGCAGCCGGAGAAGCCGCCCCGAGGCCGGGCAGCGCGCACAGCCCGTTCCGCACCGCGCTGCCGCCGCCCTCGCCTTTCACCGGCGTCCCGGGCGCTGCCGGGGCTGAAAGTGGAGGGGCCGGCGCGGCCGCTGAGTCATCCCGGGGCCGCTCCTGGGGGCGGGGGGGTCTTTGGGGCTCTCGGTGAGGGTGGCCCGGGGGTTGTGACCGCTTCGGGCAGCGCCGGCAGCGCCTTTGGGGAGCTCCGGGTGGGGCGGGAGCTGCGGGGGGTGTTCAGGGTGAGATACCCCGGGTTTGGGGGTGCCAGGGTGGGCTACCCCGGGTCTGGGGATGTTCAGGGTGAGATACCCCGGGTTTGGGGGTGTTCAGGGTGAGATACCCCGGGTTTGGGGGTACCGGGGTGGGATACCCCCGGTTTGGGGGTGTTCAGGGTGGGATACCCCGGGTTTGGGGCTGCCAGGGCTGAAGTGCCCAGGTTTGGGGGTGTTCAGGGCTGTAAGAACCCCAGTTTGGGCATGCCAGGGTGGAATACGTCGGGTTTGGGGGTGTTTAGGGTGAGATACCCCGTGTTTGGGGCTGTCAGGGCTGTAAGAACCCGAGGTGGCGGGTGCCAGGGTGGGATACCCCGGGTTTGGGGGTACCAGGGCTCCAGTGCCCAGCTTTGGGGTGTGAGAGCTGTAAGAGCCCGGTTTTGGGGTGTCACTGTTGTCACTTTGGGGTATTTGGGGTCTCATCTGGTTCTCAGATCCCTGCTCTGTTTAAATTCTGTCACTTTGGGGTATTTGGGGTCTCACCTGGCTCTCAGATCCCTGCTCCGTTTAAATTCTCCCCCAGTGCTGGAGTTCAGTTCTGAGCTCCCCCAGAGCTCGGGGTTCAGGGCAGAACCCCACAAACCTCTCCTGGGTTCTGGTAACCCAGAGGGGCTCTGGGTGTTGGGATTTTTATTAAAATCCGTCCTGAGCCCTCTGTGCCACCGTGGGTGACACCACACTGCTAGGGAGCAATGGCATCTGTTACAGGCAGGTCTCTGTCCCCTGCACATAAATCCCTGCTCTGTTTCCTCTTCAAAAAAAGTGTTTTAATTCCAGCAGCTTTTAGTTTTGATGTGCCTGATGTGGGAGGTCCCAGCTCAGGGAGGAATGGTGGATTTTATTTTATTTATTTTTATTTTTTTTTAAGATTCCTGTGAGGCTCTTCTGGAAATAAAGATTAAAATGTTTCCATTTTCCACCTGCAATGTTGTCTTTTAACCAGAGCTCCTTCAGAAGCTTAATGGCTTTAAAGTGGCAAGGTTAGGTTGGATATTGGGAAGAAATTTTTCTCTGTGAGGGGCTGGGATGGATTTCCCAGAGAAGCTGTGGCTGGAATTATCCCAGGCCAGGTTGGAGCAGCCTGGGACAGTGGAAAATGTCCTTGCCCATGGCAGGGGTGGCACTGGATGAGTTTTCAGCTCCTTTCAAACCAGGGAAGCTTCACAAATGCTCTGTAATCATTTTAAAATGATCATTTATAATGATCTTGCTTGTCAGGATCTCACCAGGAACTTTTCTTCCCCCTCCAAACCCTCCTGTGGTGCTCTAGGAGAAGTCAGTGACCAGGTCTGTGTGTGGCTGCTGCCCTGGACAGCTTGGAAAAATTCATTTATGGCTTCACGTGTAAAACCTGAAGTGGCAGCTCTGAGGAGAAAAATGTCCTGGGGCCTGCTGGGAATGTCTGGAAATTCTTGGGGCAGTTTTATGTGGAGCTGACAATTTCAGTTTTATGTTTTGTGTGGAGCTGAGAACTTTGTGCACAGGAGCTTCCCCACCCCATAAGAGTTGAATCTCCCCCTTGTTTTAATTATCCTCATGTAACTTTCTTATTTTTAAACAAGCTAAGGCTGTTTTGTTTTTTTTTTTCATTATTTTAAGTTAATGATATTTCTGGAAATTGTCACCAGTTCATTCCTTGTTTGCCATGCAAATGAGCCCTTTAAATGCCTTTTTTAGTGCTGTTTAACCCATGGAGCAGCGTTAATGCTCAATTCTCAATAAAACCCCCGTGGCTGATGAATTTAACAGTTAATTGGCTGCTCTGCTTTGTTTGCTTTAGTTCAGCAGAGCAAACATGAACTTTGTCAAGGGGGAGAGTTTGATCATTAAAATCCTGCGAGAGTGAAAGTCCTGATTCCTTCAGGCTTTCAGTCCTGGTGAGCTCCAGGTGAATCAAATCCCACACTCCTGCTTGGTGCTGAGGCAGAGCACACGTTGGAAGGGATGGATTTCCTGGAATTTTGTATTTCTCTGTAATTATCTCTGCTTGGTTTTAACCTGGAACTCTCCTGGCTCGGGTTTGAGTGGATGGAGTTGAAGTTGGTCCCTGTTTTAGGGACTGTTCTCAGCTCACACCTGTGCTTGATCTGTCCATTTTTGAGGGAAATCTGGATGGACAAACCAGCTTGGAGAGAACTTAAAACCCTCAAATTTGGGGATGAAAAGATTAAATCAGGAGTAGGAAGCTTTGAGAACTGGACTGAGCAGTTGCTGGGTTCCTTTTCCAGCAGGACAGGGACATTCCAAAAGGATTCCTGATCTTGTTTTAACCCTGAGCAACAAATCAGCTTGAAGAGAACTTAAAGCCCTCAAATTTTGGGATGAAAAGATAAATCAGGAGGAGGAAGCTTTGAGAACTGGACTGAGGAGTTGCTGGGTTCTTTTTTCAGCAGGGCAGGGACATTCCAAAAGGGTTCCTGTGATCATTTAAAATGATCTTGCTTGTCAGGATCATTTTAATAATATATCCTAATATATTAATATATCTATCCTAATAATCTTGTTTTAACCCTGAGCAACGAACCAGCTTGAAGAGAACTTAAAGCCCTCAAGAAAAGATAAATCAGGGGTAGGAAGCTTTGAGAACTGGACTGAGGATTGCTGGGTTCCTTTTTCCAGCAGGGCAGGGACATTCCAAAAGGGTTCCTGTGATCATTTAAAATGATCTTGCTTGTCAGGATCTCACCAGGATCCTTATAATAATATCCTAACATAATAATATATATTAGATATATACAATAATATATCCTAATAATGTTGTTTTAACCCTGGGACACGAACCAGCTTGAAGAGAACTTAAAGCCCTCAAGAAAAGATAAATCAGGAGTAGGAAGCTTTGAGAACTGGACTGAGCAGTGCTGGGTTCCTTTTCCAGCAGGGCAGGGACATTCCAAAAAGATTCCTAATTTTGTTTTAACCCTGAGCAACAAATCAGCTTGAAGAGAACTTAAAGCCCTCAAATTTTGGGATGAAAAGATTAAATCAGGGGTAGGAAGCTTTGAGAACTGAACTGAGGAGTTGCTGGGTTCTTTTTTCAGCAGGGCAGGGATATTCCAAAAATATTCCTAATCTTATTGTAAATGTGGGATACAAACCAGCTTGAAGAGAACTTAAAGCCCTCAAATTTTGGGATGAAAAGATAAATCAGGAGTAGGAACCTTTGAGAACTGGACTGAGGAGTTGCTGGGTTCTTTTTTCAGCAGGGCAGGGACATTCCAAAAGGGTTCCTGTGATCACTTAAAATGATCTTGCTTGTCAGGATCATTTTAATAATATATCCTAATATATTAATATATCTATCCTAATAATCTTGTTTTAACCCTGAGCAACAAACCAGCTTGAAGAGAATTTAAAGCCCTCAAATTTTGGGATGAAAAGATTAAATCAGGGGTAGGAAACATTGAGAACTGGACTGAGGATTGCTGGGTTCCTTTTCCAGCAGGGCAGGGACATTCCAAAAGGGTTCCTGTGATCATTTAAAATGATCTTGCTTGTCAGGATCTCACCAGGATCCTTATAATAATAATAATTATATATATATATATATATATCCTAATAATCTTGTTTTAACCCTGAGCAAGGAACCAGCTTGAAGACAACTTAAAGCCCTCAAGAAAAGATAAATCAGGAGTAGGAAGCTTTGAGAACTGAACTGAGGAGTTGCTGGGTTCCTTTTCCAGCAGCAGGGCAGGGACATTCCAAAAGGGTTCCTGTGATCATTTTGAAATGATCATTTAAAATGATCTTGCTTGTCAGGATCCTTTTAATAATATATCCTAATATAATAATATATATTATATATTATTATATAATAATATATCCTAATAATCTTGTTTTAACCC